ACGTCCGCCCGGACATCCAGACGCAGACGGTCTGGAATGGGTTTCGGACGTCCGGACGGTAACCATGAATATTATCAATGTCCCCCTTATATTTGAATGCATGTAAACGCAAAAAACTTTGATGTGGTGAAGATGCTGAAAATTCTGAACACCCGCCCCTAGTATCAGAGATTCAGAAAGGATTTTGACACTAAAGATTCTGGAAATTTTGAAGTGGGAAAACGCTCAAAATTATGAACCTTCCCCTGTTCTGGTTTCTTTAAGGAGGGGTACTCGTAACTTTCAGCCCCTTCACTTCTTCGTAAATTTCAGAAATTCCATAGTCTAGACTCTAGATCATAGACTAGATGTATATTAAAGTTGAAGATTCCGAAAAACTTTGAAATAGTGAAGATGTTGCAAAACCTGACCCTCCCCTCAACCCACTATTTTGTTTGGTTTTGGGCAGGGTGTGTTCAAAATTTCCATGCCTATGTAAATGTTGAATATCAGTGGATCGCGTTAACCACCTCTCGGCCCCAAATGAGAACGGCATCGGCAAAAGGGCAAAAGGCAACTCATGGTGGTTTGCCCGTTGCTGCTGCGTGCGAATCTGACCATTTCTCGCTGTTCTGGGCTTTCATAATTTAATTGTGCATTTTGCTATGAAAAGCGAGTGATCCAAGCAGATTTGTCTCAAACTAGGGTAGGATGAGGTAATTACCAAATAACCAGGCAGTACAACCATGCACTTCTCGTATGGTGAAATACGAACCACCCAGTCAAGATTTTGTTTTTTGACCATTTCTCGATTTATTTGTGTCATCCTTGCACAGGGGCCACGGTACTTGAAAAACCAAAAAAAAAAGGGTCTTATAGTTTTGGCTTTATAATACTCTATATCCATTATGGTGAGCGTCAACCCGGTTCCTATTCCACCGGCAAGTCAAGCAAGATACCAAACACAACTGACTCCAACAATTCTCTTCTTTACCGAGGTGAATCTCCTCCTCCTCGGCAGAGGCAGCGTGGGACAGGGGTGGTGGCATAGGGGAATTTTTTTCTCTGCGAAGTTACTACATGTTACATTCAGCTTTCCGGGGTTCTGAGAGTTAGAGCAGCATCTGACTTTCTTCTTCGTTAGGATCTTCGATCTCAGGGATGGTTACACCTGGACTGACATCAGTATGGTTGCTCTGTTCTATGCTCTTAACTTGCCGATGCCAGAACGACGCTGGCCGGAGCTGGGGCGTTACCCTGTAACCTGCTACGGTAGGAGCGTGAGGCCTTGTAGAGAGATCTGGGGTTTGTCGAGGGAGGAAGGCAATCCAGTGGTGAATTGGGGGGGGCGCCTTGACACCCTCTGGGGGCGGGGATAGTCTCAGTGGCGAGAAGAGGTCAGGTATGGTTGATGTTGTTTGGTTGATACTGTCTTTGAGTAGTAGTGTCCTGGTACAGGGAGGGTTTGGAGTTGCCCTCGGATTAGGAAGCTGGAGTTGCTGATATATCCACACACTTTAGAAGTTTAGATCCAATAAAAGCTTTTTCAGAATTTTCAAAAACGCAAAACAAGCCTTCTGGTGCTTCATAGTTTTAGGCGGCACCCTGTCTTCTACCTCACTAGGGATATAGAAATTCAGAGATCGTCAAACCTGGACTGATAACTGCAGCGCTGCTCTGTTCTATGCTCCTGGATCACCGATCCCAGAACGACGCTGGCCGGAGCTGGGGCGTAGCCCTGTAACCTGCAATTGGGCAGGAGCGGGAGGCCTTGTAGAGAGATCTGGGGTTAGCTGAGGGAGGAAAGCAAACCAGCGGCGAACCGGGTGGGCTGCCTCAACAACCTATGGGGTGGGGTTAGTCTAGGTGGTGAGAAGAGATCAGCTATAATGGTAGTCGTTGGTTAGGTTGGTCTTGTCCCTGAGTTGGAATATCATGGTAAGGGAGAGCTAGGAGTTGTTCTAGGATTAGGAGTCCAGAACGGCTAAGATAGTACAATTCTTTTTTTTTCATCGCGATCATTTCCATCATACGCATTTTCCTTCATTCATATGAACCAATCAAATTGAATGCCATGATGTATTTCAGGGACGCTGGACCCGGTTTCCAGCAGGTGTTGCTCCCCACCAATAGATGGAGCTCGTCTTTAAAAAAAAAAAAAAAAACGATAGACAGACCCGACTGGGCGGCATTTATATTACTTTTAATTTTTTTAACTCGGAAGGATGTACTTCCCCTCACCCCTGTCTAGGTTAGTCTGCTCCTATCGGCTCATTTGCGTTTAAGCACCACCTTCTTCCCCCTTCCATGCTTGAAATGCTTCCGCACACTTTTCCCCCGGCCTCCCTTTCCCGTTCCTCCACCAGTCCCCGGCATACATCTGCTAAACCCCCCCCTGACATCCCTTCCTGTTCAGGAGCGAGGCTACTCGTCTCCATAGCGTTCCAATTTTAACAAAAGTCCCAACGAACTTTATTTTCTAAGTTTTAGTTTTCATTTAACTTCTTCATCTTCGAGCTCACAAGTAACCCCACTGAGTCCGCTGCCGCTTGTGTGCGGCATCAACAGGTCCTCAAGGGGGAAAAGTGGAGTGGAGATCTCCTCACATGGAGTTGAAGGGCGAACTGCTTCTGGCACGCATGCGATTTGAAGTAGAGAGGTGAGGGAATGTTCATCCGCCTCCTTCATCCCTCTCACAATTTCAGACAGCTAGCTTTGCTGCTCTCTCTTTTTTTTCCCGTTCTGTTTGCTGCCTCGTTCTTCGTTTTATCACTCCCTTGCCTGGCTTTTTTTTTTGTTAGAGCCTTAGAGGGTTTTGGCTTTTTTTTTTGTTAGAGGGTCTTGGTTTTTTTTTTTTTTAGTGGGTTTTGGTTTTTTTTTTTTGCGAGTGGGTCTTGGCTTTTTTTTTTTTGCGAGTGGGTCTTATGCTTCTGGCCCCATTCAACACAATCCGGTTCCTTTTCCACCGGCAAGTCATCAAACCACCAGTACTACTTCCTAAAGCTGTGCCCGTTAACAAGCCACAATTTAAGGAAACGGACGGACCACTAGAGGAGCACCCAATCTACTCTATTTTTCTCCCGCGGCCGATAGCTGGACTGAGTACTGGTGTTTTAAGTTATGAATCACACAGTCCTTTCTTTGGAGGCTTTTTTTTTCCCCCTTTGTTTCTTTCTTTGGAGTTGTGTGCGTGGATGCTATGTAAGGTCCTCATGATGGTGACGCCCATCTGGCTCTTGGACTCTTTTTTTTTTTTTTTTTTCTTCTTGGGACTCTCTCTTAACCTCATGGTGGTGGTGCCCATCTGGCTCTTGGAGTCTTTTTTTTTTTTTCTTGGGACTCTCTTAACCTCTTCCTGTATTTCTTTTCCTGTTTTTTTTTTCTTCTGTATGTCAGACTTTGCATGCATCTCGATCTCAGTCTCTTAGTCGTCTCTACGTACGCAGCTGCAGACCCCAGACACCATTACCCCACCCCCAACGCTACCACATCCTTGCTTCAAGATTAAAGGCTGGATTCTGTGTCCACTTGAGAAGAGCAGCATGGCCATCCAAACACACACAAAAAAAAATTGAGGCCAATTATAGGCTCTGCTCGATTCACCCGCGCCAACCCCCAGGCCCACTGCAGCCGCCATACAGCACAGCAATAGGCCCATTGAAGCCAATTATGGGCTCTGCTCGATTCACCCGTGCCAACCCCCAGGCCACCTGCAGCCGCCATACAGCACAGCAATAGGCCCTTCTTCGTGTTTTGCCGCTGCAAACAATCACTTAACAATTATTTCACTATCTTTAGCAGTACTACCCTAAAAGAAAAATGGTCCACCATGGCCCATCCTGTGCCCAAGGCTTCAATTACAAGTTCAAATACAATGGGGTTACTGGGGCCATTACCCACCTTTGGCTTGAAGACATCTCAGACATTCTTGCCCTCTCCTCTCCCCTTTCCTTCCTTCCCCTCCCTGACCCTGTTTTGCATGAAATACAGCTTGATGCTCAGCATCTCTCTCTCTCTCTCTCTCTCTCTCTCTCTCTCTCTCTCTCTCTCTCTCTCTCTCTCTCTCTCTGTGCAACGGGCAGCAGCGGCAGGTGGCACGTCGAAACAACCACTTTGAAAGTGCTCGGGCCTGTGTGAAACCCCCCACCCCAAAAAACTGCAGTGTCTTGTGTCCGGAGTCCGGACCTCTAGGCCCTATCCAGTGGGGTGAAACGACACTGAAAAATCACCCCATTATTTTTCAAGGGGCGGTGAGGACCGGAAAAACGTTATGGGTCACCCCTTTATTTTTTTCAATTTTTTCCCTGGGGGCCTCCATCCGGACATAAGGACCGGACACCGGACAGCGGACATGTTGTTCCGGACTGTCTGGAACCCGGTCCGGACGTCCGGTCGGTTACCATGAAAAAGATTCAGTGATTTTGAAGTTTTTTGAAATCGGGTTTCAACAATTTGAAAGCTGCTCAAAATGCTAAATGCCCCCCCTTTGGATAGCGTTGAACATCTGAAAATTTTGAAGTGGTGAAAATGTGGAATATTATCATGGTTACCCCGGACCCAGCCCCGGACAGAGCATGATGTCCGGCCGGACCTGCGTCCGGAAAATCCCGGACAAAAAAAAA